AGCATCAGTCCTAGTTGGTACTAGACTGCACCCGTAGCACCAGCCTTATGGTGGTGCCTAAGTTGTGCTGATTGCTGAAATTCTTGCTACTAGTTTTAATTTGATAACCTGCAGAATTTCTTTGAAATTAAACAAGAAACGATTCGGACAAATAATGTTGAATTAAGATCTGATGTCCATAGGGCCTTTATTTGCTCACTAAATTCCATTTACAGTCCTAATCTGATATCTATGATCATAGTATACTGGTTTTACCAGGAACTAAGCAATCTATTTTGTACTTTAAAACCATTTCATTCTTTTCTTCTTTTAAAAAGTCACTGAAGTGTAAAATAAAGGTCAAATATGATGTCTGCATTAACATACCATATGGCAAGATTAACATCAAGCAAACTTGTGATGTATGTATTGTATACAGATGTTGTATGATATAAAAGTAGTGTGCTGGAGTTAGTTATACAAGGATAACTGATTTAATGTTTACATAGTAACTATATAAACAAATTGCATAGGATTATATGTCTTGCATCTTGGACAGATAAGACTACAAACACACAAAATCTCAAACAAACAAAAATCAGGTTGAATGAGCTAAAATAGCATTGCTTATGAATGATATATAAAATATTTCAAGTAAATTTGAATATTCTTATGTTCTTGAAAATTCTCAAAATAAATCCAGTTTTTTCAGCTCATTTGTAGTTCTGATAAACTGATCCAAATATTTTAATATTGGGTGTGGAAACAGATGGAAAATACTACACTTTGTCAACTATCTTCTGCATTGTTGCACACAATGATCTGTTACCCACACAAAGTTTGTCTCTAGACACCACACAATGATCTGTTATCACACAAAGTTTGTCTCTAGACACCACACAATGATCTGTTACCCACACAAAGTTTGTCTCTAGACACCACACAATGATCTATTACCCACACAAAGTTTGTCTCTAGACACCACACAATGATCTGTTATCACACAAAGTTTGTCTCTAGACACCACACAATGATCTGTTACCCACACAAAGTTTGTCTCTAGACACCACACAATGATCTGTTACCCACACAAAGTTTGACTCTAGACACCACACAATGATCTGATCTCACACAAAGTTCGTCTCTAGACACCACACAATGATCTGTCCCCACATAAAGTTTGTCTCTAGACACCACACAATGATCTGTTCCCACACAAAGTTTGTCTCTAGACACCACACAATGATCTGTTACTCACACAAAGTTTGTCTCTAGACACCACACAATGATCTGTTCCCACACAAAGTTTGTCTCTAGACACCACACAGTGATCTGTTCCCACACAAAGTTTGACTCTAGACACCAAACAATGATCTGTTACCCACACAAGTTTGTCTCTAGATCTGTTCCCACACAAAGTTTGTCTCTAGACACCACACAGTGATCTGTTCCCACACAAAGTTTGACTCTAGACACCACACAATGATCTGTTACCCACACAAAGTTTGTCTCTAGACACCACACAATGATCTGTTACCCACACAAAGTTTGTCTCTAGACACCACACAATGATCTGTTACCCACACAAAGTTTGTCTCTAGACACCACACAATGATCTGTTACCCACACAAAGTTTGTCTCTAGACACCACACAATGATCTGTTACCCACACAAAGTTTGACTCTAGACACCACACAATGATCTGTTACCCACACAAAGTTTGACTCTAGACACCACACAGTGATCTGTTACCCACACAAAGTTTGACTCTAGACACCACACAATGATCTGTTACCCACACAAAGTTTGTCTCTAGACACCACACAATGATCTGTTACCCACACAAAGTTTGACTCTAGACACCACACAATGATCTGTTCCCACACAAAGTTTGTCTCTAGACACCACACAATGATCTGTTATCACACAAAGTTTGTCTGTAGACACCACACAATGATCTGTTATCACACAAAGTTTGTCTCTAGACACCACACAATGATCTGTTACCCACACAAAGTTTGTCTCTAGACACCACACAATGATCTGTTACCCACACAAAGTTTGTCTCTAGACACCACACAATGATCTGTTACCCACACAAAGTTTGACTCTAGACACCACACAATGATCTGTTACCCACACAAAGTTTGTCTCTAGACACCACACAGTGATCTGTTACCCACACAAAGTTTGTCTCTAGACACCACACAATGACCAGAGTTTGTCTTTAACACCACATTTGAAATCCAACACCTTTTCTTCCAACTTAACACCAAAATAGTATAGTGAGTGGGCTAGCTTCCTGTTATCTGACAACTTTACATTAAATGGCTTAGTGTGTGTTAATCTATCTTATCATTTTAAAGGACAATGAAAACATTTTCACAATTTGATTTCTTTTCTGCTAATCAACAACAGTAACTAATTAGTAACTAAGTCTCTGCCCCTCCCATGTCTATGTCATTGACCTACGAATGATACCCGAGGTCAAAGGTCATGTAAGTTGATATTTGCCCACTGTGATGCTAGAACAAGTCATGAATATGCCAGAATTGAAGTATAATTATGTTTTTCAATTAAACAGATTTTCTATTCAAAATCAGTAAGATCAAATCGGTAATATGATTAGATAACAAGAGCTTAAAGTTGAAACTAAAAAAAAAAACAACTTTTATAAATATTTCTTTTCTAGATAAAATAACTAAATGTGATGCTGATCACAGAAATGTTAAGCAATCATAAAAAAATGAAAATGGAGTTATTGATATTTTGTGTTGTATTGTGAATGGTGCAGTAGGTAGTGGTCAGTTGCTGTATTTGACTTGGCAGAGGTATCATAAACACAAAATGAAAAAATATAAATTATGTACAACTGTCAAATAGTAAAGACGCGACCTGAGAACAAGAGGTCCATGGGCCTTTCTGGTCATCTGACTATAAAGCCCTTCATAGGAAAGAGGCCAAATAGGCATAAAATAATTGCTCAACTACTCTACAGCTTATCAGGTACTTTTTCTGAATTTAAGAAATATTTCCCAACCTCAGTGATGTTTCAAACCAAATAACACTGAAATCCATTCAAGCATTAAGGAAGAGTAGCATTTTGAAGCAAAATGTAGTATAACTTCCCTGCCCTTTTGGGGTTTGCCCCCAAGTGCTTAGGTGTTGAACCTGGTCGCTGAAGTTCAGAAATAATTCTCCACTCTAAATGATATTTCGCACTTAATTTGGTTGAAATTGATTCAAGCATTAAGAAGGAGTAGTGTTTTGAAGCAAAATATTGACATACTTTCCCATTTGGGGTCCTGCCCACCCCCAGTTACATAGGGATCAAATCAAGTTTCTGAATTCGAGAAATGATTTTCCACTCTATATGATATTTCACACTTAATTTGGTTGAAATTGATTCAATCATTGGTCTGATAGTATACTGTATCTCCATGTCTCTTTCTTGTTGTTTTAACAGTTTCAAAACTAACAATAGATCTCATAGAGATTGTAGCGCCCACCATTGTTTGTTCTTTATTTGTTCTTTGAAAGTTGAATCTTTTCCTTTCTTTTCTCTTCTCTGTTTTTGCTCTTAATGCTAAGAAATTTGAACATTCCTTTGCAGAAATAGAGATAATAATCTTTAACTGCCAAATCCAATATGGTCACCTGTCTGCCATTTCATTTTTCTGATCAGTCCCAAAATCAAACATGTACAACCTAGGGACCCAGAGGAACCAACATATGAAATTTTAGAGAAATCTATCGGACATATATAGATGGCCGCCTTGCAGTAATTTTGTGTTTCTGATCAGTCTCAAAATCAAACAGGCACAACTAGAAATCAAGGGGAATTGACACATGAAATTTGAGAAAGATTTGCTAAATTGAAATGAATAAATAGCTTTCTACAAAAAAAATTTTGCTGATACACACTGAAGTGACAGGTAAGTTTTAATTACATCTATGTACACATATGAATGAATGAATTGATTAACTATTTGAAATATAGTCTTGATAGTCTTAATCGGGAGATAAATACCACCGATCTTTGAATCAAATGCCAGTTATGTTAAATTAACCATATTTTTACTGTAGTTATACCTTGATAACTAAAATTTCAAAGTGCCAAGGACACTCATACTGTGTATGATGGATTGAAATAAAGAAATAAAGGAAGGGTACATCAGTACATAGAGGCAGAAAAATATGAAGAAAGCACACGTCCAAAATGTCCTTTTCACCACATACACTTTTATTTTTTCATTAATCTTTTCATTTTAATACATGAAGCAGTGTGCAATGACAAGGAATATGGAAGTGGAATAATGTTCTTTAGTAACCAGAAAGATTTGAAGGTAAAACTGAAGGTTCCTTGTGCAACACCATGTGGACAAGTTCAAAAGACAAGCTCAGGGTTGCATAACAATATATTGTGATGTCTTTGAAGTTGACTGTCACTCATTTGTAATCTTCAAAAGAAGCATATTGGCCTGTGATTGGTCAATTTTTTTCCTCCTTGAATCAATGAAATTACTTCACTTGTGTGTTCAGTTTTACCATAAAATGTCCCAGAGGTGCAGAGAGCAAAAGTGACTGTAACACTTGGAATATGGAGAATGGAATTAATCTGGTGATAAAATTAACGCTCATATCATCGGAAAAATAGGAATCAAACCCATAAATATACAGCTTTTCTTCACTGAAATACAGTTTCCCTTTAACAGATTTCAAAGCTTACAGACACAAGAATAACAAAAGCATTCAGCTTGTCAATCTAAAATTTAACACCATTAAACAGTCCAAATCTGAAATCTGTAAGCCATCTTAGTTTTTTGAACAAACAATGCACAACTAGAAACATATTGGGGAAGCAATATTTTTAGTCTTCTAATTGGCTGAATTACTACCATATACCTACAACAACACAATACAAACAAATGTTCAACAGAACTCTTGGAGGGCAGTGACACTGTGTGATCTGAGGACAAATACTTTACATAAAATTTCCTTTAATGAAAAGAAAAACTCACCTGGCCTCGTTTGAGTCCAAAATATCTTGATACTGGGTCTCCTTGTTGTATTCTGGGCAACTGGGACTCCTTCAATTTACTTGATATTGTTAATGGAAGATAACATTCGGTGACAGACCAGAAATTACGCAGGTGATATATCTGTGTATCTATTTCTTTGACCTACACATGTGAAGATTTGAATCTGATAACAATGACTATTCCGAACATCTCTTCCTTTTCATCAAATTTAATATTTGCTGTTCTTTACAGTAATGCTACAATGTATTACTGTTCTAGTACAACCAAGGCCACATCCAACGAGTTTTTATTGAACTACATGTACACCAAATGATTTCATTTTTTAAGATAACAAAGAACTACAATCAGCTAAAATGATGTTCTTTTGTTGTCAAGTATGATGCTTAACAATAGTTATCTTTTATTCTGTGATTCAGCCAAAACTTGCTAGAATATGTGGTACTCAGTATGTGGTTTGATGGATATGGCTAAAAGCAATGTGTGAGGTATATTGCATGATGAAAATGGCAACTAATGAATTTTTCAAACACCAATTACACATGTCAGGTAAAGCCATTAGTTTTTTAATACTGGAGCATATTTCAGGTCCAGCATTAGTGAGTATAACTTATCTATATTGGAACGTAATCGTCCAAGGTTTTGTTTCCATTGAGCATTGGAAATACCAATGTACTTGTTAACACAAAGGATACTATCTGCTCAAAAGTTCTGTCTTCTCATCAGGAATCATCACCACATGTTCTGGTACAAGCTGTATAAAAGAGGAATTAAATATGTAAGAGGGGGGCAACTCATATCATATTACCCACCAAATATTCCTGTCCCAGCTTTACATAAGATAAATTAGAATGGGTAAAGGGGGATAACTCATTCAAATTACACACCACATATTCTAGTACAGTGAAACTTACATAATATCATGTTCCATTTGTCACAGGGAAATGTGATAATAAGCAGAATGAGACATTAACAATTGAAATATTTTTTTTTGTATTTTGTTTTTCCCCTAAGAACAGTGATTTTCCTTAACTTGAAATATTATCATTGCGATTCTGATATTATGACTGATCGGGTTTCCAATCTTCATATTATAGGATACATTTTTTACCCTGAACGATTCGGCTGAGAAAAATGATGCAGACTTCATTTTATGAAACCTGAAGTTCAAAGCTGTTATTTCAGCATTTAAAGCTTTGTATTAGAAATGTGTTTTCATAAATTTAAAGATTGTGACATCCGCAATGACATGCCGTGGTTGGTTATTTTCTGAAATGTCTTTTGCAAAATTATCTATTTTGTTTTGAAATTGATCCCAGTTTGCATACTAAAGACTTATTTTCAAGAAGTTAAACTCAGCAGCATGGCATCTACTACAAAATTGGTTGCTTTTGACAAGTTCCAAGTGACAAGGGTTTAAAATCCATTTTAACACTTGGGTTGTACTAGCCAATTAAAAAAACAATTGCACTACATTTCCTTCAACCTAGCTGGACTTTACAGGTTAGCAGGTCAATCTTATTTTTTGGGAGTCACAGGTTGTGAAAAGTTGGCCAGTAGGGCAGTGACAATGTTTACATAATGCATCAAAGTGTGATACACAGGCATGAATCCATAGTTCCTGTCCTCACTTACCTGTGATATACCTGTGATTTCTTATGATAGTTGACAATATTAAGTGTTGTCCTTATAAAAATGAGTGACATTATCAGATATTGGATTACATAGAGTATGCAGGGAATAAATTGGTGTCATAAGAAAACATGATATTAACTGGAAAGTGACATAAACAGATGTGACATTAAGTGGGTTCCACTGTACCAGCTTTACTAAAAAAAGTGAATTAAAATGGATGAAGAGGGATTACTCTGATCATACTACACATCATACATTCTGGTACCAGCAATGCCAAGACTGTACTAAAGATACACAAGTGAATAGCACCATCTAATACAAATTTAGAGTTAGACACAGTAAACCCAAGCAATGATTAAAACTGCATCATACAGCTTGTTTGTTCTTCTAGGACTTGTCAGTGATGCTAAGGGCCTAAATTTTGAAGCCTAGCAGGTGACTGAGGAAATCCAAAGTAATCGAAAGAAGAGTCAATACCTAGACAGGGAGGTGCACTAGCCCCGTATATTTTTTCACATATAATTTTAGAACCACATAAGTACATGTATATATTCTGAAGCATGCCACTATTCAAAACAAATTATAATATGGCATACTATGAAATTAAAATGGATAAAGGAGAATAACTCTTATCATACTACACACAACATGTTCTAGTACCAGATATACATGGAATAGGAACAAGATTCAACAGAATAATGAGGTATATTGTCAGAAAACAAAGATGTATGAACAAGAAAAGTTTCATTACAATCATACAAGATTCATGGCCAGCCAAATACTTATCCCTACCTCAGGACATTGTGATTAACATTGAATGAGCTCTGATTTGTACATCTTTTATGTTCATTAAAAATTTATCTGTAGCCTTAAAGATTCAGTTGTGTTTGATTTGTACAAACCATGTGTTCTGTAATGTTGACAAGAAGTTCTGACTCCAAAAACTGTTCCAGGATGTATTTAGGGGCCATATCTGTCAGGGACTGTAAAGACACACAGATAAAAAAACAGCACATCTCACAGTTATATATCTAAACTTATATGTGATTATGGAAACCAACCAATTTTGTTTCCAGTTTTCAGACTATGAACCAAAAAGAACATACACAAACAATAAAGAATCACTCTTCACTCACGTCTGAATGAGAAGCTACGTAAACACTTGGGTCTCACTCACGTCTGAATGAGAAGCTACATAAACACTTGGGTCTCACTCACGTCTGAATGAGAAGCTACGTAAACACTTGGGTCTCACTCACGTCTGAATGAGAAGCTACGTAAACACTTGGGTCTCACTCACGTCTGAATGAGAAGCTACGTAAACACTTGGGTCTCACTCACGTCTGAATGAGAAGCTACGTAAACACTTGGGTCTCACTCACGTCTGAATGAGAAGCTACGTAAACACTTGGGTCTCACTCATGTCTGAATGAGAAGCTATGTAAACATTTGGGTCATGTTGTTGTCTTGTATTGCAGTAGGCATTAATATTGCCTGTAACCTAAATCAGTATGAAGTTTAATGTTTAAATGATATGTTAAGATTTCACAGACATTCTGGTTATATTGTTTACAATATCTTGCAATATCTAAGATAACTTTTAAATAACAGTGCCAAGACACCATTGCTCATAAAGTCTCTACAACAAGGTAAAAGGTACACATGACAACACAAAACAAACCAGAACATTATCCATAGAAGATGTAAAGATGCTTCTTCCTTTGAACTAAGTGTGTTGGAAATTTGGTTTTGATTTCTTTGACAGTTCTCAAAAAACTCAAACACATTAACCTGTATGTTACACACTTTTGTACATTCCTTACTAGTTTTATTGATCGGGGGATTAAAAGTTTATCTGTTAAAATTTCAAATAAAAAGTTTATATCACTGAGTGAAAAACACATTCGAAAATTCTTTAGACTCGACTTACTCATGATAGTGTTAACATAGGATGGAAGGTTACAAAGTAAAACATTTCTATTTTCACTAATTTAACAGAGGGTATTATGACAGTGATTTTTAACATGTAGACTTCACCAATAAGGTGAGAGGATCATGCCTGTGTTTAGTAAGACCACCGATTTTGCGGAAGATGTCATGCCTGTGTTTAGTAAGACCTCACCGATTTTGCGGAGGGTGTCATGCCTGTCTGTACAATGATGATAGCTCTGGTGATGTTTTCCTCCTGCATTCTGTGGCAGTATGTCTTTATTGTCTTTATGCCTACTTTTGGCTCCTCCGGGAAAAATACAAACATCTGATCTGGAATTGAATGAATTATATCAGTCTGTATGCAAAAGCACTACAAAAGTAAATTTAATTTTCATATTCTGGTGAAGTTAGTTTCATTGAATTTTTCATGGCAGTACAGAACACCATTTTCAAAATTTTGACCAGTCCCATAACTATGATGATGAGCAGATTATTTAAATTTGGGTGATCCACATGAAAAGCATGAGCCTATGACCCAAATATCTGAGTAAAAAAATAAAAAAAAAAACATCATGTATGTCATTTCCTGCATGTCTATTTCATATTTTTAAAAATGATATCGTAATACACGTTTGATCTTTAACTTAACCAGAGGGACAGTATGACTGTTTTTTGATGTAAAAGTCTGACCTACTTAACTCTTCATTATTTACCTGTTGTATGGATAGGTAAGTAAATCAAGAGGTGAAATCCTTCAGTAAGGGAAACTAACTTATGGAGAAATAGTATTCCTAAGATACTATATGAAATTAAGATAAGAACCTTCAGATGTCAAAATCCAAGATGGCAACAACTGAGAAATCTTCAACAATGGAATTTCAAAAATCTGTTTGTCATCTTGTTTAGTTTTCAAAACTAAACTTGTTAGTATTTCAATAGTCAGGGGCTATTAACATATAACTTATCAAATTTAACAATGTTTCATCATCAATTGACATAAGTGTTATGTTAAAATCTTCTAATCTACATCATTTAACTGTTGGCTATGACTCCAGGTATCTAATCATTATAAGGATTAAATATTATCCTTGTTCACTTGTATATAGAGTTCATGTCACTTAACATAGTTATGTGTTAACCTTCATCTGGAGCCGATTGGAAAAGCAAGATACACTACTACATTTCAAGCAAAATATAGAAAATTTCAGGTACACTTACTACATATCATATAAAATACTACATTTCAGGTACAATAATACACTTCAGGTGAAATACAACATTTCAGGTAAAATACAATAATTTAGGTAAAATTCTACACTTAGGGCAAAATACTACATTTCAGCAATAAAGCTATACTACACTTCAGGTACCATAATATTTATCAGGTACAATAATATTTATCAGGAACAATAATATTTATCAGGTACAATAATATTTATCAGGTACAAAAATACATGCTTAAAGACCAGATTAACTAACTACTAACATTAACTTTGGTATAAAACAAATTTTTGTCATAACAGTATAATGCAATGGATGTTTTACCTGTAGGGTCATCATTATGGGCAACCAACACGATAAGGTCACTTCTGCTTGGCTTCCTCTCACTGCAAAGAAGTGGAATATTAAAAAGCTTTAACAATATAATGTCCAAATTTCAAGAGGTTAGTTAATTTTAATTTATAAATTATGAATATATTTAGGGTGGACGGGTCTTGTTGTGGTAACATAATCTTCTTTCACCTCCAAGTCTGGGGTTTGATTTCCTAAATAGGTGTGAAAGAATATGTATATACATAGAAATAGGTATGGTGTGGGTTTCACCAGATACTCCAGTTTCCTTCCATCAAGTCAGAAAAACTTCACAGGTTAACAAGAGTGATTTTGTTTCATCACTGTTATAAAAAGGATAAAAGTTTATAGTACCACTAAAGCTTGTTTAGCATAAAACAATAAATAGGATTCATAGTTATGAATGCTTGAAATACTGATTTTCAATTCAAAGTCAATGTTCATTAGTCATTACTTTTAAATATACATTCATAATTTCCTAACAATATAGAATCTGGGAGTCTTATATATACAAGTGTACAGTGAAACCTCGCTATTAAGACCACTTTGGGGACTGGACAAAAGTGGTCTTATTAGCGAGGTGGTCTTAATAGTGAGGTGGATCAGATTGACCACAAAGAACCGTAACTCTGTTTAAAATAAAGAGTATATATATCATTAAGTAATGTACATGTATATTATTCAACAATAATAACTAATAATAATAAACTAAAATGTTGAATTTTATGAAATGCATGTAAAAAAGACAAAATTGCTGAATTGACAGAAGAATAATTATGTATATATTCCTTAGTTATATATCATAATATACATATATATTTACTATTGTAAACATTGAATAAAAGAAAACAAACAGTCAATACTACGTTCAATTGGAATTTAACGTTAATTTTGCAACTATTTCACATAAATTTACGAACACATTTACTCAGTATTTGTAACAACTTTATTGAAGTCACTATAAAGTCTTTCAACGCTTCATTTTTCACTTGAATTCGCAAACACATTATCTTTATCAGTGTATCACTCAGTACAACATATTTTTCTTTTTAATTAAAAAAAAGTCCGGAGCACAATATTGCGAAGAGCTACGGATCTGGACAGCCTGTAGGAAGTGGTCGTAATACGGAATAGCGGTGTGGTCGTAATACTGAAGCGACCAATACAAAGATATATAATGGAAAAAAACAGGACTGAAAAAAAGTGCCCGTAATAGCGGGGTGGTCGTAATTTTGAGGTGGTCGTTAGGTGAGGTTTCACTGTATATATATATAAATGATTAATTGTCATATTCTAGCTCACATCAAACAGTCTGATCAATCATATAATTTTTGACAAAGCAACAGGAAATTTTTTCTGTAAACGCTACTTTTGTTTAGAGGTATCCTAATGATACCATTTTGTCAATGGTATCATTCCCTTATTCTTCTTGAAAAGATGAAAACCAATTACATGTATTAAGCTACTACTCAAATTACAATCCTGTTATGTAAAACTAAAATAATTTTGTACAAGTTCCATATATGTTTCTAAGTAATAGTCATGAAGCAGTATACCTGGGTTTATCTCCAAATTGGTCTTTAAATTCGTCCAAAGTTTGGTCCAATTCATCCTGAGTAACTAAGTAACCTCGATCATGACACAGCTGAAACAGATGAAATCAAATGAGTTTTATTTGTAATTAAGGATATATGTAGTACCTAACCTTACTGGTATACATCTGGTATACATTAAAACTAACCAGAAAAGAAAGTGATTTAGGATACAAAAATTGCAATCAGTCCAGTGCTTGTCCATAAGGACATCTGTGGGTATACAAACAAAGATGTTTCATTGTCACATTGGTTATACTAATCAATGGATTATACTCTTAATAATCTGTAATCAGCATAAGAAAGCAACATGGGTAGGGGAAGTAAATGTAAGCTTAAAACTTTTTGTTATGGCATTTATGGTCAATATAAATGACATATGTTTGCTAGCAAACATACCATATATATATATATATAAATATGCCATACGATGTACCATAAAACATACAACATATACTATATGTATAGTATGTGTACTACATGTACTATGTAACATGAATTGTTCATTGTATAGAAACATTAATTCATTCTTTTCCTGTCTGTAGACAAACCATGAAAATTAAACAAAATACAATGAATAAGACTTCATATTCAAAAAATCATGTGAAAAATAAAGAATAATGTGAATAGTAATGTGACATCAACAAAACTTTTACCTTCCAAAGGAGGCTTAAACCACCCATCAACATTTTACTTTATATAGCAGTACTATACTGTATTTATCCTCAAATAAGTGCCCTACCTACGTGTAAAATTTTAGTATGAAAATTTGGGGAGGACTTACTTGTGAACAAATTATGCTAATAAACACATGTACTACAAAATGGAAAATAATCACATAATAACCCTATGTCTGTGTCCAACAACAGTTAGTTAAAAAGCCAGGATGCAAGTATGGTTCTTACATTTAATTTGTATATTACATAGTATACACACTCAACAGTCTCATTTGTCAATAGGGGTTGGTGCATAATCTCTTTCAAAACACCAACAACAGCAAGGTATCAACAACTCCTTTTGTCCAGTTTCATTATATCAAAACAATCTCTATATACCACCTTCACCTCTGTCAGGATCATACCCAACAATCTCTGTCTACCACCTTCACCTCACACAGGATCATACCCAACAATCTCTGTATACCACCTTCACCTCACACAGGATCATACCCAACAATCTCTGTCTACCACCTTCACCTCACACAGGATCATACCCAACAATCTCTATATACCACCTTCACCTCACTCAGGATCATACCCAACATCTCTGTCTACCACCTTCACCTCACACAGGATCATACCCAACAATCTCTGTATACCACCTTCATCTCACACAGGATCATACCCAACAATCTCACACACCTCTGTCAGGATCATACCCAACAATCTCTGTATACCACCTTCACCTCACACAGGATCATACCCAACAATCTCTGTCTACCACCTTCACCTCACACAGGATCATACCCAACAATCTCTGTATACCACCTTCACCTCACACAGGGTCATACCCAACAATCTCTGTATACCACCTTCACCTCACACAGGGTCATACCCAACAATCTCTGTATACCACCTTCACCTCACACAGGATCATACCCAACAATCTCTGTATACCACCTTCACCTCACACAGGATCATACCCAACAATCTCTGTATACCACCTTCACCTCACACAGGATCATACCCAACAATCTCTGTCTACCACCTTCACCTCACACAGGATCATACCCAACAATCTCTGTATACCACCTTCACCTCACACAGGATCATACCCAACAATCTCTGTATACCACCTTCACCTCACACAGGGTCATACCCAACAATCTCAGAAAACCACATTCAACACACACAGGATCATACCCAACAATCTCTGTATACCACCTTCACCTCACACAGGATCATACCCAACAATCTCTGTATACCACCTTCACCTCACACAGGATCATACCCAACAATCTCTGTATACCACCTTCACCTCACACAGGATCATACCCAACAATCTCTGTATACCACCTTCACCTCACACAGGATATACCACCTTCACCTCACACAGGATCATCCACCTTCACCTCACACAGGATCTGTATACCACCTTCACCTCACACAGGATCATACCCAACAATCTCTGTATACCACCTTCACCTCACACAGGATCATACCCAACAATCTCTGTATACCACCTTCACCTCACACAGGATCATACCCAACAATCTCTGTATACCACCTTCACCTCACACAGGATCATACCCAACAATCTCTGTATACCACCTTCACCTCACACAGGATCATACCCAACAATCTCTGTATACCACCTTCACCTCACACAGGATCATACCCAACAATCTCTGTATAATCTCACACAGGATGTATACCACCTTCACCTCACACAGGGATCATACCCAACAATCTCTGTATACCACCTTCACCTCACACAGGATCATACCCAACAATCTCTGTCTACCACCTTCACCTCACACAGGATCATACCCAACAATCTCTGTCTACCACCTTCACCTCACACAGGATCATACCCAACAATCTCTACCCACCTCACACATCTCTCTCTGTCTACCACCTTCACCTCACCAGGGTCATACACAATCTCACACACCTCACACAGGGTCATACCCAACAATCTCTGTATACCACCTTCACCTCACACAGGGTCATACCCAACAATCTCTGTATATACCACCTCCATCTCACACAGGGTCATATATACTCAACACTCTCTGTATACCACCTTCACCTCACACAGGATCATACCCAACAATCTCTGTCTACCACCTTCACCTCACACAGGATCATACCCAACAATCTCTGTATACCACCTTCACCTCACACAGGATCATACCCAACAATCTCTGTATACCACCTTCACCTCACACAGGATCATACCCAACAATCTCTGTCATTCACCTCACACAGGATCATACCCAACAATCTCTGTATACCACCTTCACCTCACACAGGATCATACCCAACAATCTCTGTCTACCACCTTCACCTCACACAGGATCATACCCAACAATCTCTGTCTACCACCTTCACCTCACACAGGATCATACCCAACAATCTCTGTCTACCACCTTCACCTCACACAGGATCATACCCAACAATCTCTGTCTACCACCTTCACCTCACACAGGATCATACCCAACAATCTCTGTCTACCACCTTCACCTCACACAGGGTCATACCCAACAATCTCTGTCTACCACCTTCACCTCACACAGGGTCATACCCAACAATCTCTGTATACCACCTTCACCTCACACAGGGTCATACCCAACAATCTCTGTATACCACCTTCACCTCACACAGGGTCATACCCAACAATCTCTGTATACCACCTTCACCTCACACAGGGTCATACCCAACAATCTCTGTATACCACCTCCATCTCACACAGGGTCATATATACTCAACAATCTCTGTATACCACCTTCACCTCACACAGGATCATACCCAACAATCTCTGTCTACCACCTTCACCTCACACAGGATCATACCCAACAATCTCTGTATACCACCTTCACCTCACACAGGATCATACCCAACAATCTCTGTCTACCACCTTCACCTCACACAGGATCATACCCAACAATCTCTGTCTACCACCTTCACCTCACACAGGATCATACCCAACAATCTCTGTCTACCACCTTCACCTCACACAGGATCATACCCAACAATCTCTGTATACCACCTTCACCTCACACAGGATCATACCCAACAATCTCTGTATACCACCTTCACCTCACACAGGGTCATACCCAACAATCTCTGTCTACCACCTTCACCTCACACAGGGTCATACCCAACAATCTCTGTATACCACCTTCACCTCACACAGGGTCATACCCAACAACCTCTGTATACCACCTTCACCTCACACAGGGTCATACCCAACAATCTCTGTATACCACCTTCACCTCACACAGGGTCATACCCAACAATCTCTGTCTACCACCTTTACCAAACAGGGTCATACCCAACATCTCTGTATACCACCTCCATCTCACACAGGGTCATATATACTCAACACTCTCTGTATACCACCTTCACCTCACACAAGGTCATACCCAACAATCTCTGTCTACCACCTTTACCAAACAAGGTCATACCCAACATCTCTGTATACCACCTCCATCTCACACAGGGTCATATATACTCAACTCTCTCTGTATACCACCTTCACCTCACACAGGATCATACCCAACAAACTCTCAATAATACTCTAAACTGCTGTGTACGATTCACCAAGCGCATCTTTATGGCAAAATTACCTGCATTATCGTTTTTCTGATTCTCCATAGCTTGTAAGTTTCCTGCTCATCATCCATTTTTAGCCCCTGATTATAAACAAAACTCTCAGTGGAATATAATGTAGAATTATTGCACCACTTTGTTTATCTGTAAAAAGCGTGTTTTTCCTCCGGAAGTAAGCAATCAGAACATCGACAGTAAAATGTTTGTGCACTTCGTGAATAACACTAAGCATGTTTAGAACCTAGTTCATGTAGTTTCGTATAAAGGGATATCTAAGAATATATATTTATATTTGAAAAATATAATGGCCTTTTCTTTTTTGACAAACGATTGCAAAATTATAATCATAATGTCACTACGGCTTTAAAAAGATAATTTATACGAAACTATCATCCGTCACGCCTTACCGAGCAAAATTCCCAATACTTATGTTGTTTACAACGCTTAGTAAGGCAGTGTGGACTCAAGTGCGGGAGAGATCGAAGGTCTATCTAGTGACCGGCCTCCCTTACGCAACCATGGTAAGTTTATATTAATGAGACTTCTAAAAAAATAATTCTTTAAATGCAAATAGGTTGAAATTGCAACATTGAAAAAATGACCTTGTCAGAAAAATATAGAAATAAGCACATACTGTAGTGTGCTTAAATAAGTTACCTAACAGTGTCACTCTACAGGACTATCAATAAAGGATCAGCATACATACACTTTATATGTTATGTTTCCGTCTTTGAAATAACTCCGCAAACTGAAAGTTGAACATGTTGTTTATGTAACTAGTAGTTCCAAACAGTTTTATTTATACTCTGTTTTTCATTTACATTCTGGTTTTATTAAACTAATGTCGAGTTACATCATGATTTTGAACTCTCCCCAAGTAACCTTTTTTCTCTTAAATGAATAGTGTACAGCTGGTTTGCAGTGTAAGTCAGTACTCGGATACTATGCCCCTTAATTTCATTGTCCAGTAATAAGTTCATCCCCTTGGACTTATTCAGAGACATATAATACAGACGGATAAGAAACTGCCTATCATGTGTACATGTTACCTTTTTTTTTTCTATACACATATGAATTTGAATACACAGGAAATTCATTTTCATTTTTTATGAATAAAGGAAATATATATATACAATAAAGAATATTAAATTTAACATATGCACATGTAGTTGAAGAATGTAAAGCTTATTTGAATTAGGTTCAGCCTACGTTTTTTTTACTTAAAATGTGGCTGTAGACAGGGGGACCTGATCTCATTGTATATATTAATCTTATGTGCAGAAGTTTCAGCCATGAAGTGAAAATAACAGAAAAATCAACTGTTTTAAAGCAGATGATTTCCCAAGACTTGTCTTTCAGTATGCGGACAACACTTTTTTCATATCAGAATCTCTGAAAGAATTAAATGTCTATGTGAATATCTTGGGGCTTAAAGTAAATACTGATAAGACACAGGCTATATGGATGAGGTCAGAAAAGTATAACCAGGACATATTTATGCCTGAACTTAATCTGCAGAAGGGGAAGGAAAGATTTAACCTGGGATAGAATTTGATGTCAACTTTCATGCTATGCCAAAGATCAATTGTTACAAAAAATTGTAAAGCTAAAAACCCTTGTTAATACTTGGCAAAGAAGAAATCAAACTCCTAGAGGGTAGGTACACTTAATTAAATCTCTTTTTATTTCACAATTCAATCAAATTTTTGCAGCTCTACCCAATCCAGATGAAAACACAATCAACAAAATTAACTCCACCTTGTTTGAATTCCAATGGAACAGCAAAGTTAATAAGAATAAGTGAGAAACTGTTGTTCAAGATTTTATAATTGGGGGATTGTAAATGGTTAACATAAGGGCTTTTACAGATGTGTTAAAACTAAGGTTGGTTAGAAGACTGTATCATACACCAGGCAAGTGGTTTTGGCTTTTAAATACTTATGTAAACACTGATGTTTTGCTAAATATCGAAGGTGAGTACATACAAAACTGCCATAGGAATTGTAATAATAAATTTTGTAAAGAAGTTTTTAAAGCATAGTATAAATAACAGTTTTCTATAGAAACCAATATTGATAATAAAAACACATTGTTACAAACACCTCTTTGGTTCAATAGAAATATTGCTATATCTGGCAAACCAGATTTTTCAATCAGTGTTACAGAAAAGGATTTTGTAGGGTCTGATAACCTTGAATCGTTTCTACGTTTTGAAGATTTTGTACAAACATATAACAATTTTCTTAAATATCAAGGGTTAGTGACTTCTGTTAAGAAATTTATTTCCGATTGGTTACCATTAGAGAATATTGTGGTGCTGTCCATAATACCATTATATATTTAGACATTTTTGTGAAAGCCGAAAGGTACCAAGGATTTGTACATTTTATAAACTGAACTCGGGCAGTACCAACTGGGTAAGGAAAATGGTGGGAACTATTTGATTTAACCAACAAAGACTGGGAAGCTATCTTTAATGGCTAGTTATCAGTCCATTATGTAACCTATGTGACTCTGAAACGGAAACAATCACTCATATCCTTTAGGAATGTCAAGAAGTTCGAACTCTAGAAACACCTACATCTGCAATGATTATTCAATTTTCTGTCAACAAACAATCCTCTCTGTTTGGAATTATAAAGGTTTGGGTGTTTTGTGTGTGTGCCACAAGGTTAAAAAATTCAATATGCATGAATGGGAGTGTTTCAGAGATTTACAATGATGTATATATGTCAAAATAACACAATGTAACACTGATACTATGATAATTGAAGATGATGAGGAGGATGATAATGATGTAGTGATGTCATGATGATGATGATAATGATGTAGTGATGCCATGATGATGATGATAGTGATGATGGTGGTGGTAGGGATGTGAGTGAGTGAATGGAAGTGTACTCGTGGTTTATCATCATATATGTAGTAAGTCTTTCAAAAATAAAATAAAAACAAAAAAGAATTAGGTTCAGCATTTTGGAGACAGTGTTTAAGCCATTTAAGTAATTCTGTCTTGTTTTATTTGCTTTTGTTATACAGTATAAGATTACATTTTACCTGGTCCAGGTATACATATCTTTTTAAGCTGAAGGAAATCAGGAAGTAATTGAATATATATGGAAGGAATCAAGTATTTCAATGATGTGATAAATATAGAAATACAGTGTACCTGGTACAAATAAGAATATTCCTGGTAAAGTCTTTTGTGAACCATACAAATACCTAATTAAAACTTCTTGCAGTTGACTTGGTCATGTGTGAAATTGCAGTTGACTTAGTCATGTGTGAAATGCTGAGATTGCCCATGGAATTATTCATTGAAGAAGAAATTGAATGATATGGAGATGTCACAATAGATCCTAACCAGTTAATAATGTGATTTAAGTTACCATTAATGACATCCAGTAGGAAGGGGGAAGGGGGGGCGGGCGTTGTATTTTAGCACAAAACTGGCAAAGTTCCCATCAAAATGATTGTTCCACTTGATGGTTACAGTTGATAATAAACAATTTATTTTAGTTTCAATACTGTTATAAAGACAGCAACAAGTGTACTAGGGAATGCATTGCTAAAATAAGCTGGTAATTATTGAAAAAGGCAACAAAATTTAGAAAGAAAAGTCACAAATCACAAAAAAATGTATCCAGATAGGATTTTTACTGCTGTAAACAAAAACATTACCTTACCAGAAAAGACATGGCAAGACATCTGATCAGATGTCTGTCTGTCCAGCATTAACTTTTCCATTTAAACAACTTGACAATAAGCAAGTGGCCCAAGGTACTAATATTGGACCTGTAGCAAGCTTGGAGGAAAGTTAACAGATACTAACTTTATTCACTTCCTATTGGTTGAATTGATCTTTGGTTTTCAAAAGAGACATAATTCTAGATATTTTAACTTCCTCTGGTGTTTATAGGTAAAAAGATTGCCACACCTGTATACATCATGCAATATACTGAAAACTTTCTTTATTTTTCATTGCTGGTAACATTTAAGTGTTTAATGTACAGTTTGTGTTTCCTTTATTCATTCATTTGTCAGAGTTTACTCATAAGTAGCTGAAAGTATAGGGTAATTATCAGCTGTGTGACTGAATTGTTTGCTCTTCATTTCTTAGTTCCTGTAGACTTTTCTGGAGGGTTTTAATGAAGTGTATTATACACAGTACATGTATATACAGAAGCTGTTGCTGAAATGTTTTGGCAGTACCGGTAAATAGGGTTTGTTAAATTGGCAGATTGTATACACTGGTTTATGCATAAGGGAATTCATTTTTGGAAATTAATCATAAATATTTTATCAAATTTTATGAGTAGACACATTTCTGATTCCAATATTTAGAAATTATGATATATAATTTTTTTTGAATTTAAGAAAAATTAATATAGAAAACAAATTTCTAAAAATGAATATTTCATGGTTTACATTGGAACTCCATCTATTTGGTTTTGCTGTGTGGCATGGAGATGTATTCTATAGAAATAAAGCAATTTGAAAGCATTTTTTTCGTAGTTCATGAAAGATATATATCCTTTTTTCTTTTTTGTTTTGTTTTTGAGTTTTTTAATGCAGTTTCATTTAAAGATGGAGAAATTAAATTTTGTTTTCCTGGGAAGTTAAAAAAGATCTTTACTCCTGTGATCATAGAAAAGAATTACACAACTCCCTTTACTTTAAGTATCTCTTTAACTGATGTAATGTATTTCTGTGGAGGTGATTTCTTTAATTTAAGGATGATTCATGAAAATGTGCCTATAGGGATTCAGCTGTATAAAATAGTTTCTTTTTGTGTGTTGTAAGCTATGAATACTATCTTGTATTGGAAGGGTTTTCAGGATAACTAGGTAAGATAAAGAATTACTTCTCTTTGTATTGGTATTTGTTGTACTATAAAGTATTGGTATTGTCCGTTTAGCCATGGCTATGTTGTAATGGAAGGGTGCATGATGATGTGGTAAGTGGATCACTGCAAGGTCAAGTACTTCCTACCACATATATTTGATCCGTAGACACACATGCATAGAATACAATACTTCATTCTATAGTCAGAAACAAAAGTAGCTTGAGCTGTCCTTCAAGTAGAAATGTCACAATCTTTTATATGTACATGTATATACAGTAGCTAGTATAAAGGAGCCTAACTGGAATAACAACTGCAATAACTATACACTCTGTTTACATTTCTGGTTAGCCTTGCTTTAATGAAGGTAATAAAATCCAATCCCTTTATTTCTTGATGAAAGAAATGGACAGGCATGCATTTTTTCTGGGCAGAAAGATAAAATGGGACAACATTTTGTAATGTTGCTGTGCATGTCTATTGTAAATGAGTTAACCCATTAAAATAGCTGTGACAAAGCAAAATGCTGCTATAATGCAGACAGTTGGGGAAAAAAAGTGATCTCACAAAAATCATCAGGTTTACAAAGATAAAATTGTCATTTTCTAAAATGTGTACAAAGGATACCAGATTTCATGCGAAATTGGATCTGGTCTTGTTGGGTTGGATTTCCTTCAT